GGGGGGGGGGGAGTGCGAAGAGTTTTCTTCAATTCTAGCTTTGAACCCGAACTTTTGTAGCACTGGCGCCTGTGTGAGAAAAAGTGGGCCTACTTAAGACTACTGCTAAGCCTCCTATTGACCCTGTAACGTGTTCAATTACAGGAAAGCGAGAAGCAAGAAGAGTATTCCTCGACGAACACACAGCGCGCCGCCGGTTGTAGTGGTGGTATCAACACATTCGGCCCAGTACAGAGAAAAATTGCATTGATGAGAATCCCTGAACGTCCAGTAATTAAAGAATGAATTCTCACCTTTCTAGCTCTCCCCGATCTTGTTATTCTCACAGTAAAACATTTCCTTTGTTACTTCAATTCAGCATGGTTAACTGCGATTTTTCTTGTGTTGTTCCATAAATTGTTATGAATTAAGTTCGTTTTTTTTTTTTTTTTGCAATTTTTCTGTGTTTATTGTTCACTTGTGTAATGATTTTTTATTGCACTTAACTGAATAAAGATTACAACTTAACATACTCGTTTTTTACAAAACAGTCACCGGTGATTGTTATATTAAAGCATCGAGCTGTACGTGATATGTAAAGAACCAGTTAGGCAAATATGATTTGTTTTTCAGTGAAGAACATAAAAATAATGCAAAATGTGGAGGATTTTAGGATCAGAAATACACTGAATGATGGAGCGGGAACTTACCACTGGGAATATGAAGGAATGCGGGTGACCCATACGCTTGAATACAAACAGAAGAAACATTTTCACGGAAACTGCTTATATACAGACAAAACAAAACATGTTTAGAACAGAGCGAAACTTGTGAACAACGAGCGGGAAACCCGAAATATTCATCGATAAAAATGAAAAGTAAAAAAGTACACAACATCAAACTGGAGAACACGCTGCACATAAAGTGAACAGACAAAAAAAAGAACAACAAAAAGAACAAGATAAACACTAGTAAGTACGGATAACAGCAAGTACTGGGACCAGATGAGGGACGAGGGCAGTAGCTGTCCATTCACTACGGATTGCTGGTAACAATAGGGAGAGACGGAGGTAGCTGACCACTGAAAAGTAGCCGGTAACAATGAAATGGACACTCCAGCACTGCCCTTTTCCGTGCATTACGGAACCCTCTGGAGCACCACTTTTTACTGGGTTTTTTGGAAGCTAATTTTCTATGGTCGGATTCGCAATATCTGTTTCATCTTAACTTAAATTTCACACATATTATAACAAGTATTACATAGGAAATTTTTACATGAGAGAGGATTTGGAATGCATGCACAAAGCACCACAAGCATATCAACAACAACGAACAAGCAAAGTGGGCAGGCGCTGGTCAGCCATTTGTCATGATCTACTATCTTCATCGGCTTCATCGGAGGAAGTAAGTCGAACGAACGAGACAAACATGTCGTCGAGAGTGGTCTGCGACAACGAATAATCGTCGATTTCAACAAGTTGTTGCATCTGCAGTGCAATTGGTAGAAGATAAAAAAATTGATGCTCCTCAAGTGAGTACATTCTCTGAGCTCATTTTTCACTCAATTGTATGCCTAAATTTTAATTCCCATAATCATACTGCGTGATTTTAACAATCGCTCGGTGAAATTTAGTTTTGATGATTGACTGCGTCCTAGCTCAGCAATTTTAGCACTTGTCTGTGAGAAAAGAGCGAGAACTGCTGAGTCAAAAACTGACCTTCTAGGATGAATACAGGCCAATACTGCTAAGTTAAATAATAAGCTTATTCCACACTCAAGAATAGACGTAATGAAATAGCCCAGCACAGAAACTGCACTTTTTGATGATTTAAATCGCTCAACAAAAACAGAGGTAAAATGATGTTGCCCAATGTGACAGCAGAACTCCTTTCCCATTTTGATCCTCAAAAATATACCTTGCAGATGGCATCATAGACACTGGCAATTGTGCAAGAAGCGTTTGGAATTTGATAAAACATAGTTAAGCAATGCACTGCTTCCAACTGAAATAATTTATCAATCAGTTAGCATTTCGAAGCACCAAAATTTACTGGCACTTCGCGGAGGTAACAAAACGAAGAATGACGCAAGTAACAAAAATTCAGGCAGGCAGGTAACGACTTGGGAAGTTTTTAGCGAAAACAGCCTATATGTTTGATCTGTTTTTAAAACCACGAAGTTACTTTTCCAATTTTTTGTTCTTCTTGCGAGACATAAAGCGCTGCCGCGTGCAAGCAGTTAGGGAGTGTCCAATGAAGCCCAGATAAGTTTTTTGAAAAAGCAATTCCGTAACTTAGAACCAAATCCTGGTTTTTTGAAAAAAAAACCTCTGCACTATAGTTTTGACATGGACTAGAAATAAATACCCCAAAATATCGTGAAATTTTACTCAGAAGACGCTAATTTTCCTTGAAAATCAATTCCTGTGGTATAAAAATGATCCTATTTTAAGAAGACAATTACTAAGAGGGTTTAAACTCACTTGGGCTGCCGGAACAAGTTCTGCCATATACTTCTGAACTTTGCTTATGTTTTCTGCTTTACATAATCGAATTGTTAGTGTGTAGCCTTCGCCAAACCTTAAAATACTTTGTTTTGACTCGATAAGTACTGAGTAAAATGTTCAAAAGTCCTGAGAACAGATTCATGAATAAGTGAAGTACACGCCTGCTAATATTGTGAAGAGTGACCTGTGCTTGAGATGTTGGATGGGCCCAATACACCTGAGCTGACCACGACTCATGATAGCGATCCGACTGCACAGCACCTCGCATTCCTCCATGCTATGCGATGTTATCACAATTGCACGCTTGCTCTTACGCAGCTGCAGCAGCACGTTCCACATAAAACGCTGCGTTGACGGATCCATTCCGGCACTCGGCTCATCCTTCAACAACCGAATCTTATCAGCTATACGCGACAGGGAACTGCCTCTGAATTGAGTGCCAGTTGGATAAGTTTGAGTACCCAAGGTATTCAGGCCACCCGTCGAAACAGAAAACTTACAAGTAACAACAGCGGTGGATCAGCGACTAGTGCAATGGCCACTGATAGTTTACGCTTATTACCACCAGAATAGCTCGAGCATATCTCATCCGCATAAGCATTTAACTGCAACTCATTCAACGCCCAATTCACCACCTGAAACTTACGAATGATCAAAGCAATCGTCCCAAATTTATTTACCGCATTTGTAATACGTCTTTTTTTGCTGGTTACCACAACCTGCTTAATCCACGTACCTGTGAAACCTCACTGCCAAAAAAAAAATTCACTGATAACAATAATCTAATCCTCGCAAAATGCGTACGAGCGAGAAGTGAAAATCAACTGGTACAATGACTTCTCTATAAAAGCGAAACAGTGGAGAGATGCACATTCCTCGGAATGCATGAAAATTTGCTTTTTGTAAATTTCATAATATTTTGAGCCATTGTCAGGCTTGCTCACAAACAATCTTTAAAAGAGGGGGCCTTAATAGCTCTCCCGAGCGTGTAGTTGTTATTGGCATTTGCTAATACTCGCGCTACTCTCTGGATACCTCCGCTTCTCATAAAAAATGAATCTGGGGAGGGTTTTGATTTTTTTACTGAATATTTCAAGTTTTTTCTCCCCTTGACTAATGTAGACTTAACATAAAAAAAAATCCTTTAATAAACGCAAAGAGAATTATTTGCACTGTTTTCTAAAATGTGCGATAAACATTTATGAGAGAATACACTGAGCGATGTTTGCTTACCGTATCGACGCTTTCTTTCGGGACACCACGCAAAAGCGAGTAGTAGCGGAGATGCTCGCGGGCTGTAAGATTCGGAGATAGCGCGTCGAACTGTGGACAGTAGCCGGAACTGCTCATACTACTGTAGCTGTTGTTACGCATGCTGAAACAAAGATCATCAGCTTTTCAATTTTTACCATTTCAAAGCAATCACTTCTGCAGGAAGCATAATTCATTTGGTCTTAACACCTCTCGGAATCACTCATTTCAGGTTCGTGGCAAAAAAATATGAACAAGAAATTTCCATCGACAGGACAACCTTTTTTCATTGATCAGTGCGTCGCCAGCGCCAATCTGCACCTGCCCGGTCAACATCCGGAACATCGTCGTCTTCCCGGCTCCGTTCACTCCCAGCAGCCCAAAACACTCGCCACTTTTAACTGCGAACGAAACGTTCCGTACTGCCAGTGCCCGTCCATCATAGGACTTAAAAAATGAATATTATTTCACACCTAATATCAGTATATTCGATAAATTAACAAAACGAAAACGTCAACAAAGCCGATCACCAAGCGTGTCGCACTGGACAAATTGCACAGCTGGAAAAGCAGATTGCGAATACAGCTACTCATGTATTCCAATTATTTGAACTGCCACATCCAAAAGACCGGGAATTAGAAAGGGAGAGAAGTTCATTTTCTTTCGAAAAGCACTTGTAGGAGTTTATGGATATTTTCCACGATTCTGAATGTTTTTCAAGTAAAGATGTCAAAAATAGTGTTATTCGAATTTTGAGTGATTAAGTAAGCTTCCAGTAAATTAGCGACTGAATAAAACCATGCAAGGAATGTAGAACAGCGAAAACCAGTAGTTCCATTTTGCAAAAATAAAAAAAAATATCCAGTGACTACAGAAACCAGATAACTGCAAGTAGCTGAAAAATTTTTACACTGATTTTCGTAATCTTTTTAGTTTTCAGTTGGTTTTTGACTTTTTTAAAGCTTCTATGATTTTTTAAGTTTCCTGTTGTTTTTCATCGGCAAACCTTTGATATTTTAGCGACAACAAGCCTGTACTGATCGCTCGGCTCAGAGGTAATTGTATCCACCCTATGTTGCTCAGCAACAACATCTTCGTCCAGAGCCGCTTCATCGGATAATGCTACCAGCTTTATTGTTCGCTGATATTCGCCACACC